CGTCGCAACCCTAGGACAATTCTAGTCGCGTTTTGGGTATTCGTGTTGGGTTAGCCCAGGTGACACGCCACTGTCTGCCAACGTTGAATTACAAATCATCGAAGTGGAACGGTCAAGTTGTCCCCAGCGTGTGCCTGTTGTCTGTCGTTATCCATGATTCGTAGCGTTCTCCTATTTCACAGGCTGGCTCGGAAATTGCGACGGGTCCGCGTTGGATCCATCGTCGACGATTAATCAGGGTGCGACAGCCTTCGCGAGCCTCGATATTCGATTACCGCGAAATTATCCTTACATGCTGCCATTGGCTGAGAGTGCTAACTCGGTTTCCGAACTCTCGGTGCCTCGGGGTAACGATCACCGCGTGGATCACGTTTCACCTGGTACCTATTTATCCTTCGATCCATTGCGCGACGATGATTTCTCGAGACTCTCGACGAAATTTTTGGTCGACTTCCGACGAATAACGAAGCATACGAGTAGATTTTTGACATCTCGGTCTCTTTAACGATGGAAATCGGATGGCAGTTCTCTCTGTGGCAACAGTGGACGCATCGCGCGAGATTGGAGCGTATTCGTGCGTGCGAATGCACGGAGAGCGTGTCACGGTCGTTGCAAGTTCGTAATAATTCTGGACCAGCGCGGATCAAAGTGAAACTATCGCACAGGGTGACTCAGCTCAAAGGGAATGGCCAAGTATCTCCGGCACTTTTGGAGATCCTAAAAGCTGGTCAAGGCTAAAGATACACGGTTGAAAGTGTACGTGCGGGGTATACGTGACGTGGGGACTATTTTTAGTTACACGCCGAATTCTTTTTTCGGACCTGAATCGCTTTTCAGTTCCGTCCAAGCCCTTCAACCAAAACAAACGAAAATACACGGAGCCAAAACGAGACCTTTCTTTCACTTTTCGTTGTAAAAGTTGTGGAAGATGATTCATGTATATCGAAGATTGTATCGAGACTGGTGGAATAATGGAAGTTGGTTTTATATTATAGCTCCATGTGTTTCTCTAGGGATGCATTGAGAATTTCAGCTTCGAGAGCTTGAGCTTCGAGAGCTTGAGCTTTGAGAATCCACGCGAATAGAGATTGGATAGTGGATGGTTTGACAAGCATTTCGAGGAGTCATTTTGAATTTTTCAGGGTACCACGATGGAGCTCCAGGTGGCCGGCCGACGAGAGGAAAGGACGAGGCTCCGAAGGCTCCAGGGCAACCACGACGAGTCTCCGAATCCGATGTGCGCTCCAGCCCGATCAATAACACGGGGCGTGCACCACGGCGAGCCACCCTTTTCCTTCTTGCCAGCCAGGGGTCCTCGGTTTGGTACCCCAGCTGACCTTCGAAGCCACCGATAGTTCCATCCGCTACTGTTCCATTTCTACTTTTCATTATATTCCTCCCTTCGACTCCCTTTCTCGCCTTCCGCCCGGAACCGGCGAACAAGATCAACCGAGATTCTTGACGAAACGCGCCAACGCCCTTAGTGACTTCCGGAATGCCACGGAAAAGAAGAAGTCTCCTCTGTTCCAAGAATTTTTATTTTGAATAAAATCACGAAAAAAGAATTCCACTCGATTTTTTATTTAACCACCGGGCCCGAATTCTAAAC